TGCCCATATTTGTTTGCATCAAATGTGTAATCCTTGTCATGTAATAGAAAAGAACAGATGAGCACTATCTATCTATCTTCCTTTATGCCTTGTTATTTTTCTTAGTAAACAAGCCTTATCACTACTGGATTTCTTTGGCAGGCTGTGGATTGTGAGAGATTATTACGTGCGCTTAGAGAACCGTGTCCGGTTTTATCTCCGTGAATAATAAAAGGGCTGCAAAAGCGCAGCGGTGAACAATAAAACTGAGCTTTTATTATTCACATATATAAAACTGGACGGTTCTCTGTACCCGATTTTCACACGTAACAATCCATCGTGGATTTGGGGTTTTTACTGATGCTAATATTTCTAGGACTGTCAAAGCAGCTGGCTGCTCCATCATTCAACTGTCAAAGCAATGAAAGCCACAATTGCCTTCAATTGCGATAATTTTATTTCAGCTGGCAGGAAATTCAAGAGAGAGGAAGTTGAATTATGCTTTCAAAGGGGCTTTTGGATATTCAAAATTTTATAAGCTTATATATTAAAGGATTGATTATTGCTCCAAGTAATGTTGTTATTCATACTATCTGAGAAAACGGCTGTATAATAGGAGAAATTATTCTGTGCGGACATATGGATTGTTCGGAGGCAAATCAGTAAGCGCAACATCATTCGGTACACAACAAAAAAGTGTGACGTAGTGCGTTCTGATTCGCTTCTTGACGGCATCAGTATTCGCTCAGAATAATTTCACGTAGAATAGACCATATGACATTACTTTCTTTTTACTTGATGATTGAGGATAGTATACAGAAGATCCACAACCTTTCTCTTGTATTTTGCTTCTGCTATAACACATTCCTTGTTAGACAATCTGCTGATGGAAGAATAGGAGGAGAATGAGCATGAAAGGTTGAATTGTTGCCTCCGCCTGTGCTGAATTTTGGTGTTTTATGTAAATATAATAATTTTTTTATCAATTATGTATTTGATACCAAAATTTCTCATTCATATTCTATTAATTCAGCACTTTGTTAAGCCAATTAGCTTTGGTGGATTAATCTTAGATTTTGCTTGAAATCATTTTTTTAGTGCTTTATTTTTTTATTCAAAATTACTGTTTTTATTCAATCACAATCAAAAGGTTTGTTATATTTGAAAGTTACTTTTTATAGTACATTTTTAAAAAAAAATTAATATATCCACAACAATTTTAAAACCGCCTTTATAAAAAATTATAGCATTTTCAAATGGACCCGTAATTTTATTGATGGACATGATCTAACATTCAGCAATCCTTAATTTTAATAACTAATTTTGCTTAATCAAATTCTCCTGTATGAGAAATTAATTTGTGCATAGACCAAAAGTAGAATGTTGTCTGAAGACTGATCAGAATGTATTTCGTCAGCAGTATTGAGCCACAGTATCGAGCAATGTTGAGGTGCAGTATCGAGTCAGTGGGTGATGTGGCATATTCTGGTTGATCTCTAGATGATATTTGATGTCTGCACATAATAATTAATCTTCTTGTACCAGGCATGTTTTCTTATACAAGTTCATACTTGTGCAAAACATTATTGGAGGACTACAAAAGCAATCAAATGATCAGAAGAATATTAAGTCAACTTAATAAAAAAATATTACCTAAGTTTTTATTTAAATAATTAATGCGGGCGATATTAATTTAAAGAGCCGTTGATCCAAATGATCACACTAATCAAACGGCTAGGATCTGTCAAAGAAATCAAAGAATGTTCAAAAGTCTCTCTTAAGAGGCCAAGCCGCCAAGTCACGTCTAATATTTAGAGCACCTTCTAGGAAATTGAGGAGACAGCTAAAGTTGAGGTCATGTGTGTGATCGCACGTGGCAGCATGCGAGCAGAGTCTCCGCACGTGTGGACGCTCATCCTATTTTATAGTCAGACGAGAGGCATTTTCTTCACTAAAAGTGCATGTATGTTCTGTGGAGTACTGGAAAAATATAAAGAAATATGAAGTTTTTGAGCTTTATATCTTCTAGAAATGAAGTCCATCTCTAATAAAATAATTTTTAAAGTTTTTAAATTTACTGTTGAGCTATTTTTTAATCCATAAAATTAATTTTTAAAAAAATTATATTGGATCATATTGATTTTAAGAATAAAATCATATATATATATATAAGTCTTTATATTTTACATATAATGCTCATGAAATAACTATGAAATTATCAATGAAATTTCACTCGGGACATTTAGAGTACATACATGGGGGTTTTAAGGAAAAAGATAAGATTATTAATGATGCATAAAAAGGTGATTTAGGGGATCTTTAAATTATTCCAAAAGGCTAATCTTCTCATACAACCTCCCTAAGCTTTTGGAGGCAATAACCATTTTTAGAAGATTTTGAGCCAAATTTGAGAAGAATTTTTGTCCCAAATAAAGTATTGATTTTATTGAAGGATGAATTATCATCAACACGAATAAAATACTTCTTTGCCTCAAGGAGGTCCATATTGACATGTAGGGAGTAGTCACATCTTTGGATTTTAGAGATCGTGAGTATTTTCGGGCTCTTTGGTTTTGATGTTTGAAAATAGAGAGTATTTGACGAATAACCAGAAAATTTATCTAACAAAATATATATTTTAACATATTTTTCAAATTAAAAGCATCACAATATTCAGATAAAAAACTTTAAGACTCGATTTGATGAGCAGAAAATTACTAAGAATACATGAATCAAATTCCAAATGGCTTTAAATGAATAAAAAACACAATCAAACGGCTAGGATCTTTTTAATAATAGCAAGACGAGCAAATGCTTAAAGTCTCCAGCCAAGTCACAGAGCATCTTCTTGGAAATGAGGGAGGCAGCTAACGTTGAGGTGATTCGTGCGATGATCACACGTGGCAGCATTCGAGAAAAGTCGGTGCAGATGTGGACACATTTCTTTTTCATAGCGACGAATTTTCAACCGTAAGGTCTTTTCTTCAACATAAGTACTTGAATATTCAGTAGAGTGGGAAAGAAGATAAATATGAAATTACTGAGGATGTTTCTAGAAAAAGTTCTTATTTAGAGGCAGAAATTTATCTTTGATTTTTTATTTTTCAGTAATGTTCTCTATTAATTTACAAATCTTCTATCAATATAGGATTTTTCCATATTGAGATATATATACTCAAAATATGTTGAAATAAAACTTAATTATATATTTTGAAGGGCCGATTTCATCCTTTATGTTGGGGTCAAACAAATCAATTGATGGTCAATAGTGACAGTTGACTAGCAATCGACCTAGTTGGACTATAGTAGTAGATACGGATGTGTTTGATTGGTGAAAAGAAGATATTATTACGTGCGGACGCCGAATGAGTCTGACTGCGAATGAGGAGACATCACGTCATGCAAAGCACTGTGTATTCGATGATATGATGCCTCCTCATTCGGTATCTGCACATAATAATTTTAAGGTGAAAAGAGGGTGCTTTCTTGAAGTTCTTCATATCACGAGCATTGTAGAGTTGAAAAATAATACAATTTGATGGTCATCTTGTTCGAGAAAATCTTGGAATGACGTAGAACCTAGCTAATTTTATCTTCATAAAAAAAAACTTTTGATATGCAACAATCTTGGTTTAAGGTTTTTTCAACTTGATGAGAGAATTTCAATCTTATGGCATTTGAAAAATGAAGAATTGGGGGAGCTACAATGCTAATTTTTCCAAGAGGTTTTGAATTCTAGTTATGGATCATGAGAAAACAACTAAACTGTGCAATTTTTTAGGTGAAGTATTCCTCCATGCCATAAATAATGTTCACAAAATAAAAATTTGTGAAAGTGATGATATTAATCCTATAATGTTTTTTTAGTCACGGGTCACTCAAAAATGGCAAAAAAAAAAACTCAAATTTTTTAGAAATTATTACGTGCGGCCGGGTCCGGATGTACAGTTGCGTCCGGACTCAAATCAAATCGGGACACGTTGGCAATATATAATTTTTATTTTACTATAAATTTGTTGTGTATTTTCTGTGTATTAGCTATGTATTGATTAATTGTGTATTAAATACAAAGTCAATACACACTAATATATAATAAATACACAATAAATACACAATAAATATATAGTAATATAAAAATTTGTGTATTAGCCACGTGTTAGTTTGTATTAGCCATGTGCCCCGATTTGATTGAAATCTAGACTCAACTCTACGTAGGGATTCTGTACATAATAATTTCTTTTAATTTTGAAGTTAAATGTTTCTCTCCTCAAGAGAATATTAATATCATAAAAGATTCATGATTTAATGGCTAGTGGAATATGCAATGATTTTGAGAAAATTTTATCTTTTATTTTTTCCTAAAAAATCTGCAAACAATACTAAGCACCTTACTATGATCCAAGAACAAATCCAAGCTACTTTAGAGCAAAAGAATTAGCAAACAATCATGATCGATAGAGAAGAGGGGGGGCTAATATTCAAACTCCCTTAGACCAACCTAAATCAGTCTAATTCAAATAATTTAAGCCATAAGTATGACCATTATCATATTCACACTGTTTTCATTCCATCAAAATTTTCTCTTCAATTCACAATGACTAGATTATAAATCATCTGGCATTCTAGTTTGTATACATTCAAAAATAAGTTACAAAATTTTCAAATTTATATTTTAGCAATTTTTTGAATCCATAAATTGGGTTACATGAAAATTCATGCTCGATGTGATTGATTTTGAGAATCATATCATATATAAAAAAATTTATTACATGCGGTGTCCAGACACGCCTGGAGGCTAACTCGTACGGCCCACGTTACTAAATACACTGTACAATGAATGACGTGGCACGGTCGAAATAATCTCCTGATGCATCTGAACTTTGCACGTAATAATCTCATAGTTAAATACTATCAAAATCTCTCTCTCTCTTAGTCCGCACTCTTTTATTCTATGAAAGCGACTACAGGACTTTTATAGCTCCTTTCTTACCCCATAATAGACTATCCTTCCATGAATTTTCTTCAACACATATTCTTCATGAATACTACCCAATTCTAATTATTAAACCCTGCCTACCTGTCTTCCTTCATCCCCCACCTCTTCTCTGAAAGCTGTAGCAGAAGAAGAAAACCTATTTCTTCCCTTCTTATTGAACTACTAAATCTCAAAGCTATTCTTTGTAGCGATCTAGTGTCATCTACATCAACCACCATGTAAGCAAGCAATTTCTTCATAAGCTTCATCTCTTCCATCCTCTTTTTGTCTCTCTTATTATATATAACAGTTTCTTTACTGTTTTAATAGCGAAGTTCTTATTAAGATAAAACTGTATAATCAGAACCATGTAATCTGAGTACTGAATCATACAAAGTTTGTAGTTTACCTAATCTATATATCCTCTCTTTATCTACCTTAACTTCTATTATGGTACTGCATCATACAAAGTTTGAAGTTTTATGAACTAAGAACAACCATATATTATATATAAACCTACCTACTTAATCTGCCTGTTTTTTCAGTCTACTGATGTAGATTTGTAGCTGCCTTTCATGTGTGGTTGAGGTTTATCAGATTATATTTTGGGCATTCAAAATTTCAGATAACGTCCCTGCAAAATTCTGAGCTGATTGTTTTTTTCCCTTAATTCATGTAGTGGGGATCATAGTATGCTTTAGTTTTCTAAGTAATCTCTCTTCTCTCTCTCTCTCTCTCTCTTTCTCTCTCTCTCTCTCTCTCTCTCTCTCTCTCTCTCTCTCTCTCTCTCTCTCTCTCTCTCTCTCTCTATTAGAAATCACTTATGTTATCTGATTTACTTCACTTAATCATATCTATTCATTTTCATTTTTGATCATATCTGGTTCTTCGGTTCCATTTCAGAAACCGATCTATAATCTCATGAATACTCAAGTTCATATATTTAAAAAAAAAAAAAAAAGTTCATATATATTAAAAATAAACTCAGAAGTCCCAGACAAGATTGATGGTGCATTAACAAGAAAATAATTAACAATAATACATATAGGGAGATGAGCGAGGAACAGAAAGGTGGAGATGATGACCAAATTCCAACCATCACCATCCCGCAAGATGAATACGAGTGGACTAAGTACGGGCAAAAGCTCATCAAGGGGATTGGAAATAAGTACAGGTACGCATAATAAACATATAAAAGAGGTAAATATTTCGATCTTTGCACAAAAAACGTCACTTAATGATTGATTGATTGATTATAAGCATGCAAGCGTACGTGCAGAAGCTATTTCAGGTGTAAGAAGAAGGATTGTGGGGCGAAGAAGAAGGTGGAGTGGGCGCCGAGCAACCCGAGCGACGTCAGAGTGCTATATGAGGGAAGTCACAACCACCAGCCTGCAAGGATTACTGGTTCAGATCAAGTTGATGAGGCGGCGATGATCCAAGTAAACCAGTATGATTTAGCTACTCAGATCTTTGGATCAAGGAACTAACATTATATATGTTTGGGTTTGTGTGTTTGTACATGTTTGTATATATTTGTATGTGTGTATGTGCATATATGAGTGTGTTTTAACTGAAACCTTGCATCTGATCTTTTTTAACTTTCTATTCGAAATATATATATATATTTGAATATAGAGATTTGTTTAACATAGTTAGAAAATTTATCTAATCAAGCATACGTTGAACATATTTTACGGATCTTAAGGCACTTAAGTATCATACTAAAAATTTTAGGACTTGACTTTATAATTATGTGAACTATATTTTCAACAAGCTTATAGTTGAGATAATGTGGGTCAGTGATCGAGATGAAGTCAATGTTAATAAGAATATATGGACCAAAATCTAAATGGGTTTAAATGAAACATTGATAAAAAACATGATAAACAAATTTTAGAGAAATTTGAAGGGTCAAATGCCCTCCAAGTTTTGTATGTTCATAATTAAAATGAGTATATTGCCAAGAGGAATTCAGTGAACTCAATATCACTTAATTCCAAGAAGAGCAAGGTAATGAAATAAGATAAAAATGAAATGATAAAACGGGAGCTTTCTGACTATTATTAGGAGTGTTTAGATTTTCGACAAAATGATTAGATTGTCTCTAGAAATCTATAAAAATGACACATTTCTACACATTAAGGGAGGTTTTTTAGTGAAGATAGTTTATATACTTAAAAGAATAACCAAGCTCTTACCACCATTTGAAAACTTAATTAATTTGTTGTCATTGGGAATGCACTTGTCAAGGCTTCTCATCTTTCTCTCCTAATTGCATAGACTTCCCTCAATTTGACTAGAAGTACAATAGCATCAATCAACCATACTTCAACACCAAATTTCCGACGTAATCATGCATATGTCGTTGTTGTTGATTATTATCACTCATCCCCAATTTTTTGTCATAAACTGACGTGTCAAAAAGTATTTTCGCAGGTCATTAATGCTCATTTATCTTCATCTACTCGTCAACACCATGACCTTCCAATATTCTCCATCACCATATATATTTCACATGATCTCTTAAAATTCAAGCATTGTAATATATACACCTCCTTCAACATTGATCAAAGGTTGATCTTTGCTATCCTCAAGCTATCTACATGGTGAAATTATTTTAATTGAGTCAGACTTTGTGATTTTTCTTTTTTCATATTTTTTATATAAAAAATGTTGTCTTATATATGTTATAGGTCACATATTTTAATACATAAATTATCTTAATATAACAATAAGATGCTAAATTCTTTTTATTATCATGAGTATACAATAGTAGTAGTGTTGTTTTTCCTCTTATAATTTTGAAACTCAACCATAATTAATGTACATTTATGAGAATTGATTTACTTAGGCAAAATTGCAGAAAATTAGTATATATCCTCTTTTATAATGGTTGATTTTTTTTTTTTATTTTTTATTTTTTTTTTTTTTGGTTAAAACCCACAGATGGGGCCAGAGAGAGAGAGAGAGAGAGAGAGAGAGAGAGAGAGAGAGAGAGAGAGAGAGACTTATAATTTATAACAGCAATTGCAGCAGCCATTCAATCTCTCAAACTTGGAAGCCTCAAGAGGATATATAGATTATTTGCCTTAGGATCCATTTACATTTTTATATAATTATTAAAAAAATAATAAAGTTTGAAAAAATATGCTTAAAATATATATGATTTAATTTATATAATTTCTCAGTAATTTTATGAATTATGAACAGTTCATATATTTCTGCATGCGCAGAAATACTATGCTCGATCTTATCTCAAATAAAAATGTGGTTCCAAGCAATCTCAATATATATCCAGAAAAATAAATAAATTAGGTATTTATTACAAACAAAAATAGGCATTCATTAAAAACATTTCCTCTTAAATCACTACGGACCACGTACGTGCTGCTATTAATTTTCAATCTGCTTCAGCATTTGACAGCAAGAAGAGGAAAGGTTCAAGGAATATCGATAGGATATAGATATAATATATTTCAAAATATTAGAAAAAAATTAGAACCCAAAAATATATATATTGAAACGGGGTATTCACCAGTTGTCACCCCCGAAAGGGTGCTTGGGGGCGTGACAAATCCTCTCGGCATACCTAGAAGAGGCATCCACACCAGAAACCTCATGGCCCGCACTTGATTGGGCCCCACTTAAAAGGCGTCGCTTCTCGAGGGGAATCAAGCACACGTTGGGGGTCCCAACCGTACTCGTCTACTAAACAAGCTAAGCAATGGTGGATAGTCGAAAATATATTAGTTAGAGGTACAGCTCAACTCAAGAGATCTTTTATAACTTATAAGATATATGAACATAAAAGTAATGTTGAATTTAGAGCATATATAGAATTTTCCGATTACAAAAAAGGCATATGATTATTTACAGAAGAAATTTTACGAATAAGATTAAGCACATATTTTATGATTTATTGTTCTTTATTATTAAAAAATCAGATAAAAACTTATGAATTAGATTAATGAAAAAAGTCAATTAAATGTAACTTTTTTTTTTCTACATAGCTCTAAAATATTATGATTTACATATATCAAAATTTTTCTATTTAATTACATATATGCTTGATACATCATCAAAAAATTATCATGATAGGGCACGAATCTCGATGCAAAATCAAATTGGAAACTTCCAAAATTAAAATTGGGACCATCCTAATTAATTTCGATTTCATCAAACTTACAGTCGAACTGAACGTCTCAGAAATACGAACCAACGACACCAAATTCGACTCAAGCGTCAAGAGGATCAACAATGGGTCGATGAGCGAGTTAGGAGGGCATATGTAAGTTTATAAGATTATTATACTTACATGAATATTATAAGTGATTATTATACTATGATTAATCTTATGTTATATTTTGTAGGATAAGTATACAAGACTTAGAGAGAGCCATGGTGCAGCATGTAAGAGTTCCTCTGGAGATATACATATGTTTATGACTATTGCACATGGTCCCAAGCTGTAGGTGGAATGCATAAGGTATATGTTTATGAATTAGGCTCACAAGCTTATGCGTACGAGGGACAATCCTCTTATGCTACCAGCTACTCCGTAGGCAACCATGAGAGTTTATATAGCCAACAGGTGACTAAACTAACATATGAGTTAGAAAATGTCTAGAAAATACAAGCGAAGATGAATATTCATATACTAGCTGAGCTTAATTAGGAGGTTAAGGGAGCAGATTGGCGGAAATCAAATTGCGCATGCATCGGCCGAGTATGTAGCTAGGACATATTCCGCCTAAAGTGTTTATAAAACATTTGTTTGATGTATAAGAACAATTGAAACTGTAACAGTGTTATGACAATTGTAGAATTTAATGGAATGTTGTTGTATATTTAAGTTATTGGATTGTTTGTTACTATTTGATTAGCTTTGTATAATGCTTTTAATTGTTGCTTGTAAGTACTGCTTGTAATTAATTATTGCTGTTGAAAAGCTTAATTATCGATTACAGGTGCTTTTTTTTTTTTTTGCTATAGATTTCCGGTGTATTTGCTACAAACTTTCCATCGCAATTAATCTTAATACGTCGATCTAGTATCGTTGTTTGCGACAGAACCATCCATTACAAATATATATATATATATATATATCGGTGGATTTGCGATGGATTGTATGCCACAATTTAAGATTGATATTTCGTTGCAAAGTGCGGCAGATTTTCCGTCGCACAATCACCGATGCCGTCACAAATCCGCTGCAAATCAGGATTTGTAACTGATTTCTCTTGTTTTGCCACGAATTATTCGGCCGCAATATATACAATGAATTTCCTGTAGTGAGAGCTGTAATGCTAATTATCTTTATGAGTTTTTTATTCAAGTTTTTTTTTTTTTTTTTTGCATTCAAGTTTTTTTTTTTTTTTTTGAAAATGAGTTTTTTATTCAAGTTATGAGCAACAAAAAACTAGTAAACTTCATTATTTTTGAGGTGAAATACTCTCAATGCTACTAAGGGTTCGTCAAATGAAAACTGACAAGAGTCACAGCACTAATCCAGTAATCCCCAAACAAATTTTAATTAGGGTTATGGGCCACCAAAAATAGCGAGAGAACACCTTTTTTTTTGTATGAAATATTCCTCTCATGATTTTGTGGCTTGTGGGATGCTCAATGGTTTGAGAAATTTTAATATTTGATTTTTTCTTAACTAAATGCACAGAGGTGCCCAACCAACCCCCCTTAGGCAAATCTAAATCTGTCTAATATATTCAAGTAATTTAAGCCCTAAAAAACCTCACAGTCAGATTCTCACAATTTTAATTCCATAGAATTTTTCTCTTCAGTTCACACTGTGACGACTATGAATCCTCTGAAGTTCATATGCCCTCTAAAATAATTTTCAAAATATTTATCCATTCCTTTCTTTCTGTTCGCATTATTTTGTTCTATGAAAGCAACAGCAGGACTTTTCCGGTGCACCTCTCACCCAGTTATAGACTTTCCTTGCTTGAATTGTCTTCAGCACATATTCTTAATGGCCACTACCATTAATTCTAATTATTAAACCCAGCCTACCTGTCCTCCTTCCCCCATCTCTTCCCCGAAAGTAGCAGAAGAAGAAACCCTATTTCTACCCTCCCAATAGAACAAATTCTTAAATCTCGAAGTTCTCTTTCTCGCGGTCTTGCGGCCTCACTTACATCATCCACCGGAACACCGCCATGTAATTAAGCCAGTTTTTTCCTTGAGAGCTTTACGTACCTATTCTAACCTTTCTTATCTTTCTTATCATTAGAACTCTTTTAATCAGAGCTTCGTAATATATCTGTGTACTGAATCATCCGAAGTTTGTAGTTTATCTGTTCTATCCTCTCTAATTTATATCTCCTATCGTTTATTATAGTTTTGCTACTGTTTCAAGAGAGAAGTTCTACTATTTAGAAAAAATACTTCAAATCAAAACTTTGTAATCACAGTACTGCATCATAAGAAAAAGTTTGCATTTTTATAACTATCTAATGAAACTGCTCATTTTGCTCTTTTTAGTCTGTTAATGACGTGAGTTTATCTTGGATTAATACATATATAGTTGGCTGTAGCTTTCTCATTAGTCTCTCTCTCTCTCTCTCTCTCTCTCTCTCTCTTTCTAGCTTTCTCTATTAGAAATCACATACGTTCATTAACTAATTAACTTCACCAGATCTATACTTTTTTATATGTACTATATATCATACTGATATAGATTGATATAAATCATGAGCAGCACTTATCATATATTCATAGCTTCTTCTTTGCCGAAATGGAAGCTGTACATAAGAGCGAGTATCATTTTAATCAGAAACCGATCGATAATCTCATGAATACTAAGAAATGGTTTCAAGTTCATATATTTAAGGCAAAAAAACCCTCAAAATCTCATTTTTTATTTGATGTTCATAATTAATAGGACAAAGAATAACAGCATATATAGGGCGATGAGCGGGGAGGTGCAAGGAATAGATGATGAAAAGGTTCCAGCCATTGTCGTCCCAAAAGATGAATACCAGTGGAACAAATACGGACAAAAGCTTATTAAGCGGATTGGAAATAAGCATAGGTACGTGCAGAAGCTATTTCGTTTGTATGTGTCAAACATGCTCATGGCTTAATGATTGATTACACAAATGCATGCGTGCAGAAGCTATTTCAGGTGTAAGAAGAAGGATTGTGGTGCGAAGAAGAAGGTGGAGTGGGCGCCGAGCAACCCGAGCACCGTCAGGGTGTTATATGAAGGAAATCACAACCACCAGTGTGCCAGGATTGATTCAGATGAAGTTGATGAGGACGCGATGATCCAAGCAAACCAGTATGATTTAGCTACTCAGATCTTCGGATCAAGGAACTAACAAGTAGATAAATTCATATGTGTGTTCCTAACTGTCATAATTTTCTGTTCGAGATGATCGAAGTCATGTTCATCGTTGAATATATATCTGTGATGTAGTGAGTTCCTGGATGTCTAAAATTTTTCTGAAATTAATAATCTGTATGTAATGATGTGATGAGTTATGATAAGTTTACAAAGTATATTAATATATAAATGAATACCTAATTATTTCTCAATTGTACTGCAGGCATCACATTGATCTCCATTTGTTATAAATTTCTTATATAAGTGTTATAAGAGCCAGTACTTCAATTGAGATTATGTCTTTCAAAAACTTTACAGCATCCATTGGTTTTTAGTAAATTGGATCCCTCTTCCCCTCTACTCATTTGGTGCAGTTTCCCTTTAGCTCTTAGTACTAAGGCATTGTTTGGGACAAAAAAAACGAAAAAAGATATCCTTTGGGACAGCTTCCTTAATGATTTGTTTTTTCCAATTCATAACTATAATTTCTTTTCAGCAACTGCTATTTCGCTACTTTTAAAAAAAATTTGTACTAGGAAGCTATTTTTTATAAAAGCTTTCAAAAAAATCATTTTCCCCACAATAACTTAATATATAATTACCTTTACAAAGAATATTTGTTGTCCCAAACGGACCCTAAAGCTATAGTTCTAACGCTCTCTCTTCACCTTGACTCATGCACGATATGTCCCTATTGACACATCTTGATGTTTAACATCATTAGCCATTAGCTAAGTAAACCCTTAGGAATAGTTTATCCTTTATTAGCTTAGGTGTATGCTTTTTAGAGTCTTCTATTATGTTTATATATACAATATATTGTAGAAAAGGAGGGATGGTTGATGAATTATAGTTTTTGAAGCTTAGAGCTTGTGTTGTTCCCTGAATTGTGAATTCCTTCTAGCAGATCTGATTCTTCCGCCGATCCTCAACATCACATCTCAACCATCAACAAGTCTTTATTTAGTCGGAGTGGTAGCCTTTTCACAGGGGTATTTTTCCTAGTTGTAAGGTTTATTTTTATTTTTTTATTATTCAATCAGTTACATTATTTTTTGATCTATGCATTTACTTATTTTTATTTTTTTTTCATATTTTTTTTACGTATGTGGTTTTTAATAAATTTTGTTCATATACTATTTATTTTAATTTATTTTAGTTATGTTATACTAAATTCAAGTTTTCAATAAAAGTAATGATAATAATACTTTAGTCTGATAAAAAAATATGCTTAGAATTATTGAATATAATAAACAAAATCTTATTATGCTAGTATACAATCAATATAAACTACACACATACAAGCCACATACTTATAAAATTATTTATATGATAAACTTTTTATACATGGATATGCAATAATAATGTTCGTACTAATATATTCAATAGATATTTAAGAACACTAAACTCTTTCTTTTGCAATAAGAAATTTTATGTCAATATTATTTGATGAGCCAATTAAGACAAACTCTACTTGTAATGTTCTGCAGAGTGGGCTGGCGGGTAATGTTATTAACTTCATTGCCACCTTCAGGAGCTCCACGTACTCCTGATACTTGTGGCGCTTGGAAGTTTGGAGGATCAGGGGGAGGATATAGAATAGATGGGGGATTGAACGAGAACTTTATGGATTGGATCCACTCTCACGAGAAGCTTTTTTGGCAGACGCGAGCCCTGGCCTCCTTGGGCGGATTCCTCCTTTTGCTCAAAGTACGGAAAAGCTTTTTGATGTTTCTGAAAGGAAGAGATTTTCTCAAGTACAAAATCTAAGTTTAATATATATTGCTTAATTAAAAAAATATACACACACATCACGTACATATGCTAGATTCGATTTCAAGTCCTGTTGATTGATAGTCAAAGCTCTCAACAAACAAATCATGCAAGATAATTAAGCTATGTGCAGTTGGAATTCATGCTAGACATAAAATATAACTACTAATGATAACATGCACCAAAAAAGAAATTCAATTTGATAAGTCTACATTTATTTTTTTCTCAATGTCATTTTATATTTATATGAGCTCATATTAAAAAAATTCCAGCATAACCCTCTAATTCTCCAATTCTAAAACATTTTCTAAATTCTAAATATAAATTGACAAATCTTGAAGTTGAATATCAATGCCCTAAGTGAGTTTCCACTTAGGCAAAATTTTCTTTTGCAGTGTGGTACTTTAATGACTATTAATTAATTAATAATTCTTCATTTGAACTGCTTAATTAAATGTTCATTGACCTTGAAGTCTCGATTTCGGGTCAACTTTTTGAGTTAAGTCATCTTAATATAAGTTAATTTTTTTTTACCAATTTTATTCTTATTGTAAAATAGTCAAAGGATTTGGCACATGCCCATATATTTAATGAAAAACTTATATGATTCAACTGAATTTACATCTTCCAGAGAATTCTCTTTGCTCTCTCAACAAAACAGTTCATACTTCACCTAATTTTGCATGGAAATTAATATTTTGTTTGGGACGATTTTTTATTGCTTATTAAAGCAGCCTTTTAGTTCAAATATTTTAATTGTTGTACTAAAAAATTTCTTTAAGAAGCATTAGGAAAGCCGTCCCAACAGGGGCGCGGAACTGCTCTTTAATTAGGGGGGGCAATTGCCCCCCCCCCTAGGGGGGGCAATTCCCCCCCCCCCCCCCCCCCTTAAATTTTTTTTTTTTTTTATTAGAGAGGGCCAATTAGGCAAGTTAACTCCCTAAATATCTTATTTTGCCCCCCTTGCCCTAACTAGCCGAAACCACACTCAGAAAACAGCGAAAGAAATCATGCTTGCGCGAGACGGCAGGCGAGAGGGAAGGCTTCGTCGTAGTTGATTCGCGCAAGAAGGCGAGAGGGAAGAGTCCATTCCGACTTCCGACGTTCGTGATTCGCGACTGCCTCCGGCATCGGGAGATCTAGGTCAGTTTTGATTTTTGAACACATTGATTGATTGTTGTGTTTGTTATTTTTGAACACAATGCTGAATATGAGAAGAGTTTTTTATTTTCCTTGCTTAGGGAAGAGGATTGAATGTGTTCTTTTGGAAGTATATTATGTTTTCTTTATTTGCACTTGTAATAATGAGAAGGTTTTGGCTCACATTTTTCTTCTCTGTTTAATTTGCTTTGATATGGTTAATCTGCATTTGTAGCTCTGTTCATTATTCTGAAAAGCTTGCTTGTTAGTTGTTATATAGGTTATAAGAAGTTTGGGCAGATTTTTTTTTATCAGGTAAATTTGCCTTCTGTAGATTTGATGGAAGATGATGATATTAGGGAAGATGAAGATTACTATATTTTATCACTACAGGAAAACAGCTCATTTCCGACAGAATTTCCGGCGGAAGTAAATTCGTCACAAATTTCTGGCAGATTTTCCGGCGGAGTTCCGGCGGATTTATTTCAACGAATTTCCGACATAATTTTTTATTGGTTTCCCGACGAATTTTTTCCGAAGAAATTTCTGGCGGATTTCCGACGGAAATTAAAAATTAAATATTTTTTATTTTAAAATATAACTTAAATTATTGAATTTAATAACTTAAATTATAATAAAATAAATTATAATTTAATTATTTAATAACAAAAAATGAAATGATTTAAATTTAAACTTGAATTATAAAAAAAATTAAAATTATTATATATGTTAGATTAAGTTAATTAATTTTAAATTTTTTTGTTAAATTAAATTAACTGATTTTATAATTAATCGGTAATAGCCTAAATAATATAAAAGTAACAATATAACAGGTTTTGCTTTCAGAGCAGTTGGCAGGCAAGCGCGCGTGGGGAGAAGAAGTGGGGCCGCGGTTTCGAATCCCGCCGAAGGCGAGGGGGAGGGGGCGGCGCAAGGTCGCCGGTTGCATCGCGGCATGCGGGTCCGGTCGTTTCAGGCGGATTGGTTCACCAGCGGCATCGCGGGGCGGGGGTCGATTCACTCGGCAGGCGGGTTGGGTTGTTTAACGGGCGGCAGGACGGGGGAGAGGCAAGTCGCATTATCACACTGAAATTTTTTTTTTATCGGAGATTCCGGCGTATTAAACATTTCCTGGACAGTCAAATATTTTCCAAGCGAAATTTCCGTCGGAATATTTACGCCGGAAGTCCTTTGTAACGACGCGAACGCAAACCGGCGCACAACATCACCGAGCCGGAAAAGTGCGCCGGTGAAACCCAGATTTCCGTCGGATTTCCCACATGTTACGGAGGTGCCCCGGCGCGATATGATGTTCGCCGGTAAATAGCGTGGTTTTCCTGTAAGTGTATTTGAATTTGTAATCATATTTTTTGTTGTAATTTCAAATAGTTTGGTTCGTTTTGAGGGGATATTACTTATTAAAGGTCCAGACAAATCATTATCAAATTATAAGTGTCCAGTTAAAGACAAAAAATGTGAAAATTTTGGTGCCCTCCCCCCCTCCTAAAATGAAAGGCTGGTTCCGCCCCTACGTCCCAAACGAAGCCTAGCTTTAGACTGCTTTCTAAAACGGCTTTTTAGTATAAAATTTTCAAATTCAAAAAATTTTTGTGCTATAAAGCTGTTTTAAAAAGCTACAAAAAGCTGTTCCAAACAAAGCCTAAGAGATATTCTAGAGAGTAAATTAATAAAATAATTACTTGATTATGTTTAATATTTTTCTAACTTCATATTTGTTAAAAACAATTTTTGGTTGAGTAATATTGCACAGCCAAAGAAATTTACCAATGATATTACGATTGATCACAATTTATTTTTTGAATTTTAGTTTTATAGTATTATCTTTTAACCTATCAAATTTAGTTTTAGTTTTATCAATTGATTAATTTTTATAACAAATAACTATTTTTGATGTCTCAAAAAAATTTGTTTGATTGGCATGAATCTCAAGATTTAAGATAGTATTTAAGTTGGAAACATTTAGAATTAACTTTAATTAGACTAATTAAGCTTTAATTTTAACAAACATATAATTAAATGGACATCTCGACGAGATAAACTCGTTGATACCACAAAAGGTCCAAACTGACTAGAAATAAGCTTTAATCAAGCATATGAAATATATTTTAGAAATTTTTGAATATTGATTGAGACATTAAATAGTCTTCATATATTACGTGCTTATAGTCAAATCAAGTGGTTTGAAAAGATGAACCAAATGAGCCCAAGATCGTTAAATTATGGTATCATTAAGGCAGTC